ATTATTATTATTATTATTCATTATCATTAATATTATTATCTAATTCTTGTTATCATTATCACTATCATTATCATTATTGTGACTATCATCATAACTTTAAAAATCACGGCACAACATAGGAATTTTCAAAGAAATTACAGTGCGGTGACAAGGTAGTGTAATTTGTAGCAGTAACCATCTGTTACATATACTAGTTGGATTCACAATAAAGCGAAAGATAAAGTGATAAGAAGGAAAATCAAAACTTGGTGATATGATAGAACATAATATCATAATATATAAGGCACATTGATGTTGATGACGGTTGATCAACACAAAAATACTAATGATAATAAATAAAGGGAAAAAAATAAAGTGCAGGTTACAAGACACAGGTACAAGTAACAAATTTCGTAATGAGTGTGACATGACACAAAAAAAAATACATAATAGATAAAGTAACATGACAGACAACACATGATATGTAACGTGACACTGCATAGTCAGCGATATGGAGAAAAGAAATATAACTCAAGGAGTAACATTACAAAGGGAATGGCATAACACAAGTGGCACTGCGAAGAAGGTGACATGCAGCGGTGTTGCACGGCACAGAAATTGATATCCCAGCAAATTGGATGTCTCGGGAATGAAACTGAATAGAAAGTGACAGTGCACTGAAGGTAAACACAATCTTCACTAACCGACGCCCAAAAAAGCAAAGAAGACGAAGACAGAAGCGCTCGTGTAGACCTCCATGCCGGCTGTTGAGGTCAAGGTCAGGCAGGTCGGAGCTAAAGGTAGACAAGATAAGCCTAGGTTCAACAGGGAGTCATAAACACGGCCGTTCTGAGCACCCTCTGGGCACTCGTGTAGACCGGCAGTTCGCGGCGCCCACACCCTTCTCTCGACTCTCGCAAACGAACAGACTGGCTTCTGGACAAACTGATGGTCGCTTTTCCGTAGCTGCGTATCCGCCATTATCTAGGCATCTGAGGAGAAAGAAAACTGGTAAATATGAATATTCAACCATGCACTATCATAAACGAATAGGCAGGGAAATCCCATTAAGTGACTGAATTTCTACCTAAACCCAAATATTATCATGGAACATTAGTAAATCGATCATGGAGATTCCAAATAAAAGATGGGTCTCTTTCGCCTTTGACCGGAAGTACGTTAATTTGATGACGTCATAAAACGCTGAATTTTCCGTTTTGATCCATTTTTACACGCCACCCTTGCATTCAATATCAACAATATATGCATTTTTGGATCCAGCTAATGAAAACCTATCGATTCATATATATTTCTTTTCTATATTAAGTGACATATCTATTTTTAGATATGACGTCATCAAAGCATTAAATCACTTTTCCCGTACTTTCCTTGAATATCACAGCACCAGTGGCTCCGTTACGTCACCAAACCTGACTGGTCACCACAGGAAAACATTCTGAAATTCGTTCTGCTAAGCAGAATGAATTTCAGAATGTGATTTAACAGCCAAGCCCCTTAATCCCTTGCTCGTTCTCGTCGTGTGTGTGTGGGGTGGGGGTGGGGGGGGGGGGGTGTAGGAGACGGACACCGAGGCCCTATGTAGATCACCTTGCCTTGGACCCTAGCTCTTGCCTCAACTAATTTTGCATGGTCTTTTCTTCTCCCCATTCCCTTTTCCTTCTCTTCTTCATCCACTTCTGTTCACTTATCCTGATTGTCAATTCATTCTTACCCTTTTCGCCTCAGTACTTTATCATAATGGAGAAGAGAGGATACAAAACTCGCACACTCCAGGCGCTACATGATGCCAACTCTTCCAGCGGCGAGAGAAAATGACGCCAAACTGAGAAAGCAACGAAAGAATTGGACGGAAGTATAGCGGATGACATAAACGAGGGAAATCATATGAGCCAATGGCCGTGACGTGACGATAAACACCGGTGGGTAGTCTGTAATAGCCAATAAGATCTGTATTTGATAATCACGTGACAGTAGAAGCTGGGCTCAAGGGAAATATATAGTCATAAGCCGGAAACCGGTTGTGAACGTCACGTTGGAAGCCTAGCAATTACACTACCGCTATAATTTTTGGGTAAGTTTGCCCCTAAATATTCGTAGTTTTCTCTTGGACTCGACCGAAACGCGAATCCCGAGCTTGTTTCTTGTGCTCTGAGTCGTCAACTTGACATTTGCTCTTTTTGCTGTTGTTGTTTATTTCAGTACGTTGGTGCTGTAATTTTATAACTTTCGGTTCCTAAAGAGATCATGTAGATATTCTTTGTTGGAGGGCAAATGATTATCAGAATCTAACAAGAGGTAGTCTAGTATCATTGTCTATAGACGGCTTGTTGTAATACGCAAACCAGCACAAACACACACACACACATACACACATACACACACATACACTCTCTCTCTCTCTCTCTCTCTCTCTCTCTCTCTCTCTCTCTCTCTCTCTCTCTCTCTCTCTCTCTCTCTCTCTCTCTCTCTCTCTCTCTCTCTCTTTCTCTCTCTCTTTTTC